TATTAAATTATTCATTCATATATCTAATACAATTGTAGAAATATTTAATATACCAACCCTTTTAGAAAATTCATTTCTCTACATGATTTCTATTCATTTATGTGTCATTCTCAAATCTAGTCTGGTTAAAATAGGACCGCTGCAAATAAATCAGCGTAAAATGATTAAATTGACTCGTTTTCGACGAGACATCTGGTAGGTGGATCGCGCGAATGGGCATCATTAAAGAAGTCGTTTAACGGTTGGTCTTCACAGTGTGGGGGTGTTTGATTTTTCCGATGATATCATATCCCGAGTGTACTTTTTTTTGCGTGTGCGGCGTAATATATCACAGTTTACATTCACGAAATTCATTGTTCCCGTGACAGCCTCGGTGTTTTCGAAGACATGGAAATCACGGTTGAGCTATTTCGCGCCACCGTTGAAGTTTATGGGTTTTTTGGAAAGAGATAAGGTTTTTTGGAACTGCACATCAAGCGACCAAATATATTAATATTGTTAACCCATAATTAAACATAATTTGAAGCTAACATATCATTTTGTATCGAAACGATATGTAGTGATATAAATTGATAGTACAATTTCAAAAATTATAAAACACAAGACGCAGTAAAAAAAAAGAATAGAAATCATAGGAATTATTTCGTTCACGAATAAATTGGATAATTGTGTTTTAATAATCCTTCTATTATTGTTGGTTTCTTCATGCTTATTTTTAGAAATATTGCCAGTAAACGGAATAATGTAGCGTCAAGCAAAATTTACTAAACATCGTGCAAATAATAATAACTACCACCAAGTAATATTACATTTTCGCGGCATGTATTAATCACGTGAAGAACCCAAAAATTCTTGGTGCAGTCTTTATAATTTTGTAGAAGGAGAAAGAATGATATAATTCTACCAGTGAAGAAATCATCATAAATTCTAATTTTCCAAATTCAAATTTTAATCACTTTCACATTTTTAAATAAGTTTCGTACATGTATCGTCGCTCGAGGACTTAGCTGTTCTAACTCCATTTTCAAAAACATTTAGTTAATCAATCTACGTGGGTCTCATTGGCCCAAATAATACAAATTCACCACAATATAAAGAAAATTAGAAAACAACAAGTATGTTTGTAAGTCCTAACTGCAAAACTTTGAAAATTACTTTCTTAATTGTTGTATCTCCGAATACTAACAATAATTAAAAATTTATGTTGATGGTAAGATAAAATTTTGTTAAATATAGTAATAAATAGCTATTCAGTAGATAATATTATAGTATGTTTGATTATTTCACTACTTTCAACTCAGAAATTATTCACTCACTTTAAACTCAGTTTTCTCGGTTCAGAAACTAGTGGAGACAGAACATTTAAAAACTAGAGCGACGTTGTAGTAAATTTTTCCATAATTGTGCTTTCCGTGTGCCACTGGAAACAAAAACAATTTGTGAAATATCCCACCAACAATTATAAATATTTTTTGCACAAAATGTCCTTATTGAGTTTTATAACTGTATCTTATCAGAAGTGAATATATTGAACTGTTATAGAAGAACGTAAAGAATATTTCTTAGCAAATAATATAGATAAGAGTACTATGACCAAAGTTCCAGTAAACTTTTCCTTAATTTTGCTTTCTGTGTGTCACTAGAAACAAAGAAAATCTATGAAATATCCCACCAACAGTTATAAACATTTTTTGCACAAAATGTCCTTATTGAGTTTTATAACTGTATCTTATCAGAAGTGAATATATTGAACTGTTATAGAAGAACGTAAAGAATATTTCTTTAATTCAAAGCAAATAATATAGATAAGAGTACTATGACCAAAGTTCTAGTAAACTTTTCCTTAATTTTGCTTTCTGTGTGTCACTAGAAACAAAGAAATCACATTTACACTCAATTCTGTCTATGGTTTCATGATCAGACGAACGCTCGTCCTTGCATCGTCTTACCAAAGGTATCGATAGCTGAACACTGTGCAGTCCGATTCTTGGAACTCTACCTAGCAAACACGATCGCTTGCCTTAGATTCGACATGACCTCATTGAATTACCTGGAATGTTTCTTTGACTTTTGCTACATTCCTGCACAATCTTCTTTTAATATCTGCATTTCTATTCTTTGTCTGCTTATTATTCAGATAGCTGGACGTGAAAATGGCGGGAAAAAGGATACGCAACCCCTTCGTTTCTCTCGTCTAGGCATAACGTTTCTACTGAACTTCGATCAATTCGCGGCGAAAGCCGGCCCGATTTCACATAAATCACTCGTTACGTCTTCTGCAATTTATCGTCGCGCACTCCTCTGGATACGATGGTTGTTATCCCTATATGGTGCAGTACAGGTGCGCGATATCTCTCCTTATCTTTCATCATCTCTGCCCGGTTTTACCTTCGTTTTTGCGATCGCGTATAAAGTGTCATTTAAATCTCTCCTGACCATTGCACGTTATTGTGCCGTAAAGACCAAGATGAGACTCGTTTTAATTGCTTCGGAATAATTAACGATTTGTAATACCGATCATTAGGGATGATGCAGAAAACTTTAGAGTTAAATAAATGTTGTGTATTTGCAATTGATTTGTGGACTTTGAAGAATTGTACCTATAATATTTGATCTTCAGCGACAGTGAATTTATGAACTGTGAGAAATTTCAGTGACCTCTCTTCTATTCGAAATAGTATGTGTCGCAATCATCGAATTTCAGAACCTGTTGCATAATTGCGTTATGTTTAGATAGTCTGAAAGAAATATAGTGGATATTTGTGAAAGTACTGGATTAGGGTACGGGATACACAGCTAATGTCGAAATCAGGAAAATCTTTACTGTTTTGAGTTATGCGACGAAGTTTCAACGAACAGAATTCATTCTATCTAATGTTAATTTAATTCTTTGTGAATTTGAATTTTAAAAAGTTGTCGATGATGCTATTTCGTCTAAGTTCAATAATTTTAACCTCTTAGCTGTGGTGCCGTTATTAAAAAGTGCGTATCTACCATGTGTCGCTGGAACGACGCGCTGACGAGTATACTCGTCAAACACAGAGTATACGCAGCTGTTGTAAAATTTCAATTAAATTATAAGGAAATAGCATTGGTTTTTTGGAAAAATCAATAACTTTACTGTTTAAATTTATTTATATTATTTACCAAACTTAAACATTCATTTATTAAAAAAAATTATTTAAAAAACGATGTCAAGAGAACTAGTGTAATCAAGAAGTCTCAAAATATACTAAAATCTCTAAAATTTACAAATATCTTTTAGTTTTCACAGAAATTTTAATTTAAATTACAAATGGTAATTACTTTTCTCACATGACGAGTGTACTCGTCATTATATAACAAATGTCCATTTCGTCATATGACGAGTATACTCGTCATTCGTAGCTAAGAGGTTAACTGAACTACTTTTAAACACTTGTATTTTGTAAGGGGCGATTTTTTTTGCTCATAACCTTCAGTTTTACGTAAAGAATGCCTTTTCAAGGACCTTATTCGGTAATATTTTAGTCAGCACGAGTTTTGTCCTTACAAATGGGATTGTGGATGTTAATTAAAAAATTTCTTCCAGTTTTGTAAGTAACTTCATAGAAGATAACGCGAATCGATATTTCTTTCTTTGAAGTATATTCTACTTAGCAAAATGTACCTAAGCGACTCTGTTTTTTAATTAGTGATCTTAAAAAATGTATCGAAAATAATAATAGCATATTAAATTCTAATAATAATTAACAACTTTATGTTTCCACAGGGCGTGGCCATAGTTAGGAAACTACTTTGAAAACGTATGTCATACACATTACACATCTAGGCGGTCGTTATTGCTTATATAAGTAGAAACAGTATGCAATACACAGACACGTAAGCTAAAAAGTATTCAGTAACACGCATATCCACCAAATATCCCAATTCGATATCATCTACATATAATCGAGCATAGTGTAGTAAACTTCAGATTTTCCATTCATTTTTTTGTACAAGCAATAATCTTTTACCGAATTGCACTATCATTTTCAGTTCTAAATACTGTCCTATGTCTCGCCCATTGCTGTTCAATACTCGTTATTATATTTAAAAAAAACTTGTTCCTGTATTTTAAACTACACCTTTATCTACATTTTCTTAGCATTTATTAAAACGTTTGTATTGCCATCATCCCCTACTCTTCAATTTGTAATATTTGTACTATACAATGTCAGATACTTTATAGTTTGTCATTTCTCTCGTCCAACAAGTTTTAAATCAAGCAATGAATTGTTATTTCAATTTTCTATTGTTTCCTACAGCTTCGATCGTTTCTTTTATCAGAACTTAGAGTAAGTAAATCTTGACCACGACACAGTAACAGTTCCAGACGCCACTCCCGGTCCGACCGGTAATCCACTCGTTCTACTTTTCAGGAGAGCTAATAGAGGCTCATTCTACTGTCACACCGCGAATCCGTCACCGAACTGTGATTTCGAAATTTTTGGATGACACCACGGCGAAATGATCGCCACTGTTTAGTTAACCCATTTGTCTTTCATTAAACTATTCCGAGAACACAAGATTCCGTTTAGTAGCCAACAATTTCTAATCACAATCCTACGTTCATCCTAGCGTCGAGTAAAGAACAATTAAACAATTAGTTACGTAAAAATTTCGGTATCCTCGAATGAATAATCTTCAACTGATTACTAAGATCTCTGCACAACACGTTGTGTACGTTGCATAAACACCTTCCGAATTATCTCTGATAATATATGAAATTCGGCACGCAAATAGCTCGAAAATCGCACTCTTTTCGTTCGTTAAAATCAAAGTAACACCCACACGACTTTGCAAAAATTTCAATTATCGATGTATACGAGTTTATTGGTAATAGTGGATGTAATTTAAGGGCAACTATGAACCTTTACCATTCATAAATATTAGACAAAAGCGAAGGTAACAATGGAACGTGGCGAAAAAATGTTTCAAAGAAGGGAATCTGGTAAATGATGAAAAATAGAACGACTTACCTTGACGATGACTTAATGATTAATTAGAGGAATCTAGAAGTTTCAGTGATTTTTCACGATTTTTCCAGGCGGTGATCCTGCTCACGAGCTTGACGATGGCAGCTCCAGGAGAGGCGAACGCTCCGTAAGAGTCACTGAGCGACAACTGTCGAGGCTCCCGAGCATAGAAAACAGCTGGTCCCACGTAGGTAACTAACTGCGTCTGTTCTGATACTCTGGTAGCCGGTACCAGAGTAGGGATGTCACGGTTAAAACGAACGACGATCTCCAGGTAACATCATTGTCTCGAATCCGCAGTCGTACGAGCTACTCGATGCGTTGCCTCGACTACAAATGCTCTCCTTCGATTGCTGAATTCAACAATGTTACTTTCTGTATTGTAGATTTGGTAATTCTGTCGCAACGCATCGACTTTCGACATTCGGTAATGGTTCAATACCCTTTGGAATAATTTTCAACGCGGTAATTCTTGTTTAATACAGGCTACCGGGAAATCTTACTTACCGATTCTTTGACGATTAATTTCATGAGCATTTTCTGTATTAATAAAGGAAAGGTATGGATTTTATTAAGATTATTAATATCGAAAATGGTAAAGAAGAATTGAACTTTAAAGAATTATTACGCTCAAGTTGTTATAGTTTTGTCCGGTACTATAGTTGTTTCTTTTTTTTTCTATTAACGGTAGAACTACCAACGAATAACTGTATCTGTCTTCATTAGAGCTGTACAAGTGATGCGGTTTTTGAAGATACAAATTAATGTCTCGAGAAGAATATCCCTAAAAATATCGAAAATTGCACTATTACAGCTGAGAATAGCTTTTCTAAGAAATTACCAAACTATCATTTTAGCTGCTTTGGTAGTTCTAGTGTTAGATAGATTTAGGATACTTATTCCGAGTATTTCATTCAATTCGGTTACTTACACTAATATACAATATACTTTGTTTTTTTTTTGGTCCTTATAAAAATGTATAAGGAAGGTATTGGTATTGACACATAGCTTCTTTGAATTTGTTGTTTATTTGCAATACATGTATTAATATTAACCCTTTATCATTCTATCTGGAGGTGTACTGAATCGACATACAATTTTATTGCAATCATTACGTATTATTGTGATATATGATGTATACATCTGCTTATAATTTCACAACTGCATCGTTCTTAAATACTATCTCAATGTTTTTTAAATGTTTTATATATTACTCAATTCAATTGAAATGATTTTTATGTAAGTGTCTGAATAAAAAGTTTACTTATTATTTTACTGTGGTATTTGTACTATCGAGATAATTAGGTGTAACGAAAATAAAACCAATGTCCTTCATGGATTAATGGAGGAAATTGAAAGCAACTTTTTGTAATACGTAGAATTGCGAGATAATCGATGCATGCACTATATCGATACATCCATGATGACACACAGTTCTATGGAATCTCCTATTAAATAAAAGATAGAAAATGCTTTGTTCATAAGCAATTTTAGAATGTGAGAATCTAAATTATTAATCTGTAATTATTAGACTGCAGATTTTTATGTAAAATAAAGTGAGGTAAAGATTAATAGTAAATTAATTATTAACAACTGTATAGTTGACTTAATATTTATTATTAAAACATTAAAACTCTTAGTATAGAAAATAAAATGATGTACAATTTGAATTTTTCTATGTACATTTTATGCTTACAACTATACATTCGAATTAGCATCTGCAATCTAGACTTTTACTAAATAAATTTTGTTTTGAGAGTTTTTATACATTTACAGATTAGTTGCTCCAATAGACAAGTTATCGATTAGTTAGAGATGTTTATAAGATTTACAGTATATTGTATAAAAGTTTCTCGCGAATTTGTTGTAAATTTTCGTACAGTCTACATAATTACGTTTATTACAAATAGTAACCTCAACAGTTCCCTACTGAAAGTGCTCCAATTTATTAATGATGAATGTACAACAAATATTTATGCAATTTTTATAGCAATTTTATTGTTTATTTAACACTTCGCAGTACCTAGAACGAGGGAATTCATCTTTTCTACTTGGAAAACGGAAGCGTGAGTCGCTAATGAGATTTCCATACAAAACAGGTGATTCAGAACCTTACGAGTTCTGTATTCGTGACTCGATGGGAAAAGATGCGTATAAAATAGTAAAATGTTGAATAATCGTAGACCTTCGAGGGAAAAGGGTGGCTATTTATGAAGGTCATTTAAATGATGTATGAAGTTTAAAAAATACCGACGAATTGTTCTATTCGGTTATTATTGACTCTCGTGAAATGTACAATTAGCATTCTTGATTGGCGTTCGTGACATGTTTCATTGAGCTTTCGACCCAACCTCGACTTCGATGTGTCTTTGAAATCATACTGATGAAGATCGATTTGTGAAACGACTAATAAATCGGAATTTCCATTACGTAAACAATTTAATTAGGATTGACGCGTATTTGACTCACTAAGAACAATTGGCTTCCGAATTTTTTTCGCAAATCATGTGAATCATTCGAAAATAAAATTATTTTACAAATTTTACAGATAAAACAATTTTGAAGATGTTTATAATTCAACTCTCATTTTGACAACTAAATAATTGAAAACATTATTTACTCTTAAAGTACAAACAATTGTCAACCCTTTCATTCTCACTGTTGCCATAAGACCACGTATTCTAAATTACGAAATAAAATATTAATATCATGTATTTTTTCATATCTGTAAGTATATACAAATAGTTCCTTCTAGTCTTGTATAGATGGTATAGCACATTATTGGTCCCTCGTCTCATTTATTTGACGGAATTCAAGTGTTAAGCATTATTACAAATAGATAAGAAACTTACACAACTGTAATTTCTTTCCAATATGTATAGAGGATTTATTGATCAAACTTAAGAAAAATTGGGTTTTTATTATGAATAACATTACAATAAGATTATTATATATAACTGTGATAAAAGTAAAAGTTGTCAAATGAAAAATGACAATGACAAAAATGTCAATTAAAAATGTTAAAATGTTCTTGCGAATCCTTTATATTTAATCTAATATAAACAAAAATGCAACAAAATATTTCGTTGGCTATTTTTAAATAATTTCGGGACGAAATGGTTAATAAAATCCTAACATATGTTCAAACCTTTATAAATAGGATACCAATCACTATAATTAAAATTACAATCCAATGTAATGTTTCATATAGTTTCGTTTCACTGTCAATCCATTTTCTTTTTAAATAATAATTAAATAACAGTACAGTATTCATCATCATTATTCGCACATAAAATAAAAACTCTTACTTGCCCTGAAGCACAATAAAATTAATCGTCCTCCGTGTCTAATTCGTACGCAACCATGCTTTCCTGCCTTCGTTCCTGTCAGATTGACAAGCTGCACTCTTTACCCCCTTATTTGACCAGCATTCTTTCTTGACATCCGATCGTACGTGCACAATCACTGGCTGCAAATTTAACGGTTTACGTGGAAGCGTGCATAGACCGTGACTTGTGTTATGCAGACAATGTCGAGCGTATTCATAGGTAGAAGTCGGACCGTTAACAATCGTCGGTACTTAATTATTGACCTGTTAGCCGGAGAAGACGAATTAACTCGTCATTTATATTCATCTTTTCATAATTACTCGTTCTTTTATTTGTATACGTAAACACTCCTGCATTTGGTAGTGTCGTACTTACTTTACATCGTTTTTATCAATTTTTATTTGCGTCTACCTGGATGCTGATACGTGAAAAATTAAGTGAAGTATTTATTAACCCGTAGTAGGCACACTGGTACGAATTTGCACGAGCGAAAATCTCAAATGTTGAGTGTTTTAGAAATTTTACTTTCTTTAATTAACATTTGTAAAAAACAAAACTTTCACGGAATGTGGGTATCACCAATCGATTCCAGGTGAAATTTTCTATCAGAAACATATGCTTTATTTAAACATTACTATTTATTTCTGAAAATTATAAAACATCATTGCTTGAAAACCCTGATTCAGTGGATGCTGGAATAAAGTGTGCCCACCACGAGTTAAGTCAGAAATTCAGTTGTTTTTCTATCTATGTTCCGATAACAAAATGAAGGCTAAGTAATATTTTACAAATGTACCATTGAACAAATATTTTATTAAATTTGAATTTCAACTGTTCATTCATTTATATTTCGACAACAAATTAAAAAATATTATTTTGTGAGAATACAATTGAAAAATGATTGAGTAGGTGCATAACGAAATGACGATGAGTCTTCTCACGCTTAAATCAGAATTGGATATAAAAATGATCGCGCAGGATGAATCGTTTAGTGTTACAAGTTGATCGAATGGCCGATTTGCATTTCTAAACGCGGCGACGCACGCCTCCGCTGATTCTCTACTTGAGAATGATTTAATTCGTTCATATATCAACTTCCTTAAGAAGATTAGCTTGCCACATTATGGTAATCAAGACTGAATTATTTTGCTATAAAAAGAACAGTATATGTTAATCAAACAACGCACATGTTTTAATAACATTGTACACCCTCCTCTTAATATTATAATCACCATTCTATCAGATATTTGTTCACTGTATGAAACATTAACTTAACTTTTATAGTAATCAAAATTTATTTTCAAATACCATATCAGAAAAATCAGCGTCAAAGAATTAATTCCACCAATTACAAGGTCTCTTTGAATGAAAAATAAAATGAAACCTATATTAATGTTCATTACAATATTTTTATTTTATTGTATTTTCATATATTTACGTATTCCATAAGTGTATGGAATTGACAATCTACTCAACATACTATTTCACATATATCGGCGATGCCATTTACACAAAACAGCATCTGTCAGCTTTAAATATTGCTCATTCATCGACCATAACGATTTACATTTACGCTTCGATTACGAAAATACAAAAGTTATAGTCATTTCCCACTCAAAATTTGTAGTAACCTCTTCCCTTCAAATTACGCCACCGAGACGGCATGGACTTCCGGTGCTAAACTGAATGATGACGTCTCAGACACGTCATGCAATTTTAAAATCTATCTACTTATTTGATGTACAGACATTGCTATATGTATACAACACTTTCATGTTATATTCTAAAGTTACGAATACAACAGGAAAAAGGTATTAC